GTTCCCATCCCACCCAGCCTCCCTCCCCATCTGAGATCAAGCGTGTCGGGTATTTTTTTTTAAATCATCTGGTAACCCTAGTGCCCAGGAAAGCTCATGATACCATTTACATATTGTTGGTCTATAAAGTGCTACCAGACCATTTGTTGTTTTTTAAGTTCATCCTGTACAGACTAACTCGACTACCCCCTGAAGTTTCTCCTAATGTTTTGTTAGTCTTTAAAGTGCTAGCAGACTTTTTGTTGTTTTTTAAGTTCATCAGAAAACAAAAGGCGATCCTAACTGGTGGATAACATGCAAACGCAGAGTTGGAAACCGGGCAGGACTGTATGACCGGGACGCCATTGCTCGAACGTCAGGCCATACAGATGCCTTGATTGAACTTCAAAGGCGGACCGATTTGCCACACGCCTGCTGCTTGTTTTGGAGATTCAGACTAACAGAGCGAGCCCAAGGGCAGTGACACCTCACAGCTGCAGTGTCCTTCCGCTTCAGCTGCTGCTCTGCCCCGCTCGCTCCCCAGGAAGCTTCCCTCCCACTTTGTTCCTCGGCGGCCTCTCCCGCGCCTGGCCCCTGGACTCCGTGTCCCTCGGCTGGGGCAGGGCAGAGACATCCCCCAGTGAAGCCTCGTTTGACGTCGGCACCGCGGCTCGAGGCAGCCATGGGGGCCCTGCTGCAGCTGGCCCAGGAGGGGGAGCGGCTGCTCTACTGGGGGGCCGGAGCCCTCACTCTGCTCTTCACGCTGGTGGCAGCCTTCACGTGCCGCCTGATCCCGGGGCTCAGCCCCTGCTACCCTCTGCTGGGAAACGCGCTGCTCTTCGAGCGCAACGGGGAAGGTAACTGGGCCCGGACACCGCTGGGCCGTTCTTATTGTAAAGGCTTCCCAAGCTGCAAACAAAAACAAAGGCGATTAATACTCAGCATCCTGTTGCATGTCTACTCGAGACAAAACAGAAAGGCAGCATCCCCGGAACTCTGCCACCACAAGCCAAGCCTCCCTCAGAAACCTCTGGCATGTGGAGTATTCCCCCCGCCCGCTATTGCCGATGAGTTTATAATTTGATGATAGTTTGTTTCAAGAAAACAAGCTCTTACTTCTGAAGTCCTGTTTCTTCTCAATGATTGAGCGCTGCTCTGTCCCCATTGCCAAGCCTTCCTATTGTGTTAGTTTCTCTTTTGTTGCCGGAATAATAATAAAGTACCGCAGCAGACAGCTGTGTTACCTTCTGAACGTAACCTTAAACTTGGACTAATTGTTTTGTTTTTTACCATCTCTTTCCTCGTTGATTTCAAGGATTTGTAACTTTCAAGAGTTTTTGCCTTTTTCAGAAGCCACATTTCCATCCTTGTAGGCTTTGAACGCCACTTCTTGCTTTCAGTGCATCCATTGGTTAGCTCACATTTAAAAACAATTGCCTAGGTACATATTTTCCCCTTTATTGTAAGACAAAGAAGTCTTACTAAAGCACTGGGCAATTATATAATTAGATGAGTCTCTTACATACATAAGAATTGCTGTTTCAGAACATATTTTCAGTGTGAGCAGTGTTTACTCAGAACTGGAACAGTTCCACATCTGGTGATACCAGTGCATTCATTTTCTCCTCTGATTTTCAAGACAAGAGTTCTTAGTCCTTTTTTCTGCTTTGAGTTTTTGTATGCACCTACATTGGGATAAGGTGTTGAAGTTATTTGTGCCTTTGTGAACAGTAAGGGTATGTCTACACTAGCCCCCTAGTTCAAACTAGGGAGGCTAATGTAGGCATTCAAAGTTGCAAATCAAGCCCGGGATTTAAATATCCTGCACTTGATTTGCATCTTCCCGGCAGGTTGCCATTTTTTGAAATTTACAAGTTTGGACTAACTGCCCACATCTCTCTTTAATTTTTCCTTTCCATTTAGATTGCAGGATTCCTGTGTCTATACAGTGCTTATCACATTAAGGCCACAAATCTTGACTGGGATAATCAAAATAATAATTAGATGCATACTTGCTTTGTCACAGTAGCAAAACTAACTTCCAGTGAACTCATGAATTGATCAATTAATTATAAAAGTTCTGGTTTTGGCCCATTCAAACTGATTTTTCTCTGTACAGATTTCTTTAAACAAATAATAAACAACTTAGAAGAATTCAGGAAACTACCGCTGCTAAAACTTTGGATAGGACCATTGCCTTTTGTGGTTTTATATCATCCGGAAACTGTGGAGGTGAGTAATCCCATCTCATGTTTAATTGATTTGCTTGTACAAGTCATACAAATTATGACAGTTATTCCTTTATTTGAGATTTGGTATTGCTTTATCTCCAGCATTTACAGTAAACATTGAAAGTGGCTGGTCATGAAGCACAAATGCCAGTCACTAAACTTCTTGGCTACGTCTACACTGGCATGATTTTCCAGAAATGCTTTTAACGGAAAAGTTTTCCGTTAAAAGCATTTTCGGAAATCTCATCTAGATTGGCAGGACGCTTTTCTGCAAAAGCACTTTTTGCGGAAAAGCGTCCGTGGCCAATCTAGACGCGCTTTTCCGCAAAAAAGCATCGATCACCATTTTCGCAATCAGGGCTTTTTTGCGGAAAACAAATCTCTGCTGTCTACACTGGCCCTTTTGTGCAAAAGTTTTTCGGAAAAAGACTTTTGCCCGAACAGGAGCAGCATAGTATTTCCGCAAAAACACTGACAATCGTACATGAGATCGTCAGTTTTTTTGCAGAAATTCAAGCAGCCAGTGTAGACAGCTGGCAAGTTTTTCCGGAAAAGCAGCTGTGGCCAGTCTAGACACAGCCCTTGATTGGGTCTAGAGCAGGGGTTGGCAATGTATGGCACGTGTGCCATAAGTGGCATGCAAGATGATTTTTTGGGGCACGTGCAGCATGGCATCGGGGCCGTACGGCCCGGCAAGCGGAGCGGGCGGCATGACCCTGCACTGCTCGCGGCGTCCCTGCCGAGTGCAGCTCCTGGGAGTCAAAGGGTTAACATCTATGTCCCCCTGCTACAGGCTCTGCCTCCTGCTCTGAGAATGGGGCAGGGTTCGGGGTGCTCCACAGATTGGGGTGGCATGGCTGATCGCATGCTGCTGCTGCCTCTGTAGGGGGCCAGGGCCTGGGCTAAGTTGCAGCTGCTCCCCATGGGTGGGGGACCCTTCCCCAGCATCCCACTGTGTCCGGCTGGGGACTGGAGACAGATTTGGGCAGCCCTGGGCTCTGCCTGTCCCAGCCCTGGAGCTGCAGCCTGCAGGTGAGGGTCAAGCTCTGGGCAAAGGGCTGGGCTGGGCTGGGCAGGGAAGGGACACTGCCCCCCTGACCACTCCTCGCCCCAGCGCTACTCTCAGGGACTGCGAGTCCTAGTGCTGCTGCCCTGCTGGTGTGTGCGCTGGGGACACAGGGATGTGGGGGCAGGACTCTGGTGAAGGAGGATGCAGGGGCAGGATGGGAGAGGGCGGGGCTTGCACTGAGGGGCATGGGGAAAGTTAAATTTTGGCATTCCACTTCTGAAAGGTTGCCAACCCCTGGTCTAGAGCTTAGGTATGCTAGTCACCCTCTCCAGCTTCTCCTCCTTCATTCCCTATCTGCCTTTGTGCAGGTTCTTTGTATCTCTAGGGCTTCAGGGGAGCACAGAGACAGTATGCCAGATGCTCCTCCCAGGGGTATGTTGCACTAGAAAAATAACAAATTTATCCCTGTCTGTTCAATTGAGACACAGTACCCTGGTGTTTTCACTGCAGAGGTGTGAGTACAATCCTCTTCACTCCTTCACTATGGCATTTTGCAAATAGCGTCGATAACCCTGAATGGTTTGTAGTTCTTTGGAGATAAATGCAAAATTTCTTTCTCTGTGTCTTGACACTTATTAGAAATACTTCTGTTATTCTCAATTAAGTGATAGAAAATGTTTATCCAGGTTTTGGACTGTGGAAAACCTTGAACTTTGTATTATCAGCATAACAGGTTCCAAATGCCGATACTATGTTAATGATCCACTAGTTTAAAATGTCATTAGTGTTGTGCTGTCATCTTTGATGTGTGTTTATTTTTTAAAAAGTGTTTTAATTAGAGCCATAGGCACTATTTTGTGTAATTTAGAGTAGCCATAAGGGAGTGCTGGTCAGTTGTCTCTTCTGCCACTGATTATTAGGACATTTTGTTTATGTATTTCAGTGTAGTTGAATGAGCTGCTTGGCTTTTGTGGACTCTTCTCCTATATTGGTTTGGAGAACTGGTGCAACTTGATAGTCTGAGTTTGTATTGACTTGTGCTTTATTTTCTCCCTGTTGAAATCAGCCCTTTATGCAGGATTCAAAATGTACACAAATTTGATTTAGCTGCTGGAAGCATAGCACCTTTAATGTGCATCCCAGGTTAAGTAGACAGATATGTGTAGGTTCCACTTACGCTAATTTGCTAAAAATAGCAGCGTGGACTCTGCTAACCACTCAAACTCAGACCCAGGTGCCCATGGCTGCAAGCTCACGTGGCCGCCTGAATCTGAGCATGCCTGGGGTTGTCAGTTTTGGTTGGATCATGTATTCCTGTGGGTTTTGTTACATGTCAGTCTTTAGTTAAAGTTTATTCTTTAGTTCCTGGAGACTCTAGGGCAATCATGGTGGAGGGTTGGCAGTCCTAACTGAAATGAGCAGAGCTAGTGTTCATGACTGTTCTACTTGGACATGGTACTCTAATGTTTTCTGCAAGGTATAATGGTTTGACAGGAAATTCTATGAGCTGAAATCCATGGAATTTTAAACCTCTCACATGGATTGTGACCCACATAGAGGAGAATGGAGCTCTGAAGCCTTCTCCATTCAACTCCCCAGTAAAAAGCCTAGGTAAACAGATAGCATCTGTCTTTTTGAGCAGCTAGTAAAGGCTGAGAGCAGAAATGGACCCAAAATACGTGAATAGGGCCTGACTAAGCGAAGGGCACCAGCAAAATTCTTATAAAAGTCTACCAGCCCAACTAAATATCCATTAGACTGACAAAATGACTCCCTTATGCTTAATAAGTGTCTGTGTTTATGCCCCTGCCCTTTCCCTAGAGAGCAACACATTTTTTGCCTCTGAAAAGAATCCTCCCTGCCAACTTGTGGTTTTTTTCTCTCTCAGATGATCTCCCCTGTCTTGGGAAGACATTGCTGTCTTGGCATATCCTTCCAACCAAGTATTAAGTTTTTCTTCATAACTCGAAGGGCTAGAAACTTAACTTCAAAAATGAAAGCTTAGATTCTGCACAAGATGGTGACAGGTGAAAGACTCCTATTGGGGAAAAGTTTAGATGTATCACTTAAATAATTATATTCTGTATCTCACATTTAATATTACTGTTGGGAAGATGTACTTTTAGCAATCATATAAGAGAGACAGAACCTCAGTGGCAGATTAGGGGGGCAATCCAAATATCCAGTTTACTTTTGGCCTGGGAGATTGACATCCTTTTATCATGCTCATTCATACTATTGACTGTTACAGTCCATTGGAATATTTTTCTGGCTTTACAGTGTAGTATCAATGTGATATATTTTTATTGTGATAAACATTTCCCTGTTAATCTATGGGTTGTAAATTTAAGTGAGCCATGTAAAGCAATCTCTGAGGCTACGTCTACACTGGCACGTTCTCACACAAAAACTCTTTTGTGGAAGAGTTCTTCTGCAAAAACTCTTCCAGAAGAGAGCGTCTACACTAGCATGTGCTTTTGTGCAAGAGCTGTGCTTTTGCGCAAGAGCATCCCATTTTAACCATAGGGCTTTCTTGTGCAAGAAATTCATGTTGCCTGTCTACACTGGCCTCTTCTGGAAGAGCTCTTGCACAAGAGGGCTTATTCCTGAGCGGGAGCATCAGAGTTCTGGTGCAAGAAGCCCTGATTTTACACGTTAGAATGTCAGTTTATTTGCACAAGAACACGTGGCCAGTGTAGACAGGCAGCAAGTTTTTGTGCAAGAGTGGCTGCTTTTGCGCGAGATTGCACCAGTGTAGACACAGCCTCAGTGTAAATGAATGTTCAAGCTTATGGGAGAGCAATCATAGCTTTAAACATATATTGTAAATGTCCTCATCCTAGTAGGGATGTGAAAGTGTAACTGTAAATGGTTAACTATGAGTCTGGGCTCATTGGTTACTGTTCACGGTTACACGCAGGCTCCTGGTACACACGAGGAGCTGTCTTCACTCTGCACTGCTGCCTCTGCATATAACTGAAACAGAGACAGCAGCGTGGGGAGGCAGGCGGGAGCGAGTATGAGCAGGGAACCAGCTGAAAAGCTGGCTCCCAGCTTACACTGGCTCCTGGGGAGCCGACTGCCACCTGCGTGCAACTGTGTAAACCCTGAAATTTTCAGTGGTTACATGGTTACCTAATTACATTCATTTTAACATCCCTACAGTCTTCAAAAAAGATTGAATATACAGTGTTACCAACTTCCTTTTTAAAAGACATATTTCCTCTCTGTCTTTTGTCCTACTGATAGGTTCTTCTGAACAGTTCAAAGCACATAGAAAAATCTTTTCCATACAAATTTCTACAACCATGGCTTGGCACAGGACTTCTAACAAGGTATAGTAATATACAGGGCTCGCCAAGCGGCGGTGAGCCCCGCTCGCTAGCTGCATGGTTTGGTGCCGTTCTGCGTTCTGCGCATGCACAGATCATTCTGCGCTGGCTCTTCCGGGTCGTAATCTACTCGGCACAGGCGAGTAGATTACATTAATTGTCGAGCCCTGGTAATATATAAATAGTCATGTACATTCAATATTATGCAAAGTTTAATTCTAAGTTATAATGTATATTTACTGAAAAAACTTAAAAACAATGAATACTTAGAGGCTAACAAAAAACATAGATGGTATCATGAGCTTTCGTGGGCACAACCCACTTCAGATGAATGGAGGCAGGAAAAAATAGAAAAAAAATATTGTCAATTAGAGTGTCTGTGTTAAATGAGGCTTATAGAGTGCGCTATAAGTACTCGGTGCTTAGCTTTTTATATCATTAGGGTGTGGAATGTAGCACCTCGATTACAGGTGTCAAACTTGTAAATGAAACCAAGTTCTGCATCTTCTCTCTCCAGCTGGTTTTTTAAATTGCTTTGTAATATATAGTCACTTTTAGATCCATTAATGAATGCCTGGCAAGCTAAAATGTTTCCCAACAGGTTTCTGTGTGTTACCATTTCAAATCTGATTTGTGTCCATTAATTCTTTGTCATAGTGATTGTCCAGTTTGGCCGATATACATGGCAGAGGGTAAAAAGCTGTGTTATCCAGAAAGCTCTATAAATGTGCATTTCGAATCTTCTAAAAACCAGGCTTTCGATGTTCAGTTGGTGTCAGACCTGCAGGCCCCGTACTTGGCTCCATGTTGCTCCCCAGAAGCAGCAACATGACTCTGCTGCTCCTAGGTGAAGGAATGGACACCAGGTTACATGCACTATTCCCACCCCAACCCATATGCTTGCTCCAGAGCTCCCATTGGCCAGGAACCACGGCCAATGGGAGCTGCATGGGGGCATTGCCTGGCAGGACTCTGCTGCTCCTAGGTGAAGGAATGGACACCAGGTTACATGCACTATTCCCACCCCAACCCATATGCTTGCTCCAGAGCTCCCATTGGCCAGGAACCACGGCCAATGGGAGCTGCATGGGGGCATTGCCTAGGAGCAGAGATAGCACACAGAGCTGCCTAGCCATGTCACCATCTTGGAGTAGCAGGGATATGTTGCCGCTTGCAGAAAGGTGCCCAAGATGAGTGCTGCCTGGATCCAGCACCCCAAAGCTCCTCCTGCACCCAAATTCCCTCTCCAAGCCTGAAACATGTACCCCTTCCCAAACTCCAACCCATTGGCTCCAGGCTGGAGCCCACTCCACTAGACATCTCAGCAGAGGAGGAGATAGAGTAGGCCTGGCTCACCTCAGAATGAGCGATATGACTTGGGAGGCTGGAATCAAGCATCGTGAAGGAGCTTCATGGGAGGAGGGAGATTATTGAGCTCACTGCAATGGAAACAATTACTTTCAGGGAAGAGGGACTACAGAAATGTATTCTTCACCAACATCTGTCCCATCACCTTAACAGCTCTGTGGGAGATTAATCCTCTTCTCCGAGTAACATTTGATAGATGATACTGATGCAGTATTATCATGCTCTAACTATCCTTAATTCCCTCTTTTTTACAGAGGGGAAATATGAGAACAGCTTCTGTTTGAGTAAGACTGAAGACAGGCTTAGCTGGGGCTGGGCATTGTGTATCTTTAATTAACACCACAAATTGTGATTATTTGCTTTGGAATTTAAACTGTAAAAAGGCCAGCTATAATTGTAGTGATGATTTCTCCCTCCCAGGGGGTATATATAACTCAGAAATAAGATTTATTTTAAATTGTGACTAATTACTTACCAGTTGCAGTTTTGTAGGCAAAAACAGTTTTACCCATAGATGTTTTAACTAAAACTCCTCCATCCTTTTGCATACTGTCAATTCCTTTAGTTCTGTGAAAAACTTACAAGACAAGGGCCAAATTAAATAGTTATCAATGCCTGGAGGAGTAAACTTTAAGGCATGATTTTGTCTCTTTCCCATTGCACAAAAAATTTCCTTTTCCTCTTTCTTCAGTAGAGAAATGTTGGTAACAACCAGACACCTAGAATAGAGCACAATGTAGAACTCCCAAATCATGATAATAAACACTGTCTGTTTTGTCCTTTAACAGGTTTAATTCCTTAGCAGGAATTCCTGTACGGAAGAATGTTACATGACAGATACAATTAATGATAATTTTGTGCAGAGCAGGTTCATTGATTTTAGGTGCAGACTCAGGATTCTGACCTACCTCCACATTCACAGGCCTGCGTAGAGCCCGAAGCCAGTAACTCCCATCTCTGAATGGGATAGTAAGTACTTTCAGTGTCTGTACCACATTCTTTCTAAACCCATCTGCATGATTCCAAAGAGATTCTACTTACAAATTACAATCCTATTCAATAAAGGCTCTTATGCTGTGCTCACCATTGTAGTATTTGGGGAGCTCCCACTACGATGTTAGATGTAGTCATTTCCTGCCATTTCAACCAGCAAGGACATTGTGTCAACGACTTGATTACCTGCATCCTGCTTCAAAAGCCTTTTAAGATTACACTTGAAAGAGAATCCTCTGAACTGTCATGCATGCTTAAATTCGACACTTTACACTTAAATTTGAATAAAGACTCTAATTATCTTACCCATTACAAAGATAGCTTCCCCAATTATCACCTCTAATATCATTAGCTCACAGGCATTTACCTCCCCCCCCCCCCC